CTTCGGCGGAGCTCCTAGGGGGCCACGAGACGTGTGAGGGGTGTGCCGAATTGGTGTGGGTGACGCATGCGGGCGGCAGCACTGTGGCCTTCGGCGGAGCTCCCTATGGGGCCACGAAACGTGTGAGGGGTGTGCCGAATTGGGTGTGGGTGACGCATGCGGGCGGCAGAACTGGGGCCTTTGGTTGAGCTCCTATGGGGCCACGAAGCGTGTGAGGGGTTTGCCGGATTGGGTGTGGGTGACGCATGCGGGCGGCAGCACTGGGGCCTTCGGTGGAGCTCCTATGGGGCCACGAAAACGTCGTGAGGGTGTGCCGAATTGGGTGTGGGGGACGCTTGCGGGCGGCAGCACTGGGGCCTTCGGCAGAGCTCCTATGGGGCCACGAAGCGTGTGAGGGGTGTGCCGAATTGGGTGTGGGGGACGCATGCGGGCGGCAGCACTGGGGCCTTCGGCGGAGCTCCTATGGGGCCACGAAACGTGTGAGGAGTGTGCCGAATTGGGTGTGGGTGACGCATGCGGGCGGCAGCACTGGGGCCTTCGGCGGAGCTCCCTATGGGGCCACGAAACGTGTGAGAGGTGTGCCGAATTGGGTGTGGGTGACGCATGCGGGCGGCAGCACTGGGACCTTCGGCGGAGCTCCTATGAGGCTACGAAACGCTGTACTGGGTGGGTGAAACGCAGGGAAGAAGGGGAGGAGGGAGGAGGAGGGGGAGGAGGAGGAGAGGAGAGGAGAGGAGAGGAGGAGAGGAGAGGAGAGGAGGAGAGGAGAGGAGGAGAGGAGAGGAGGACGCGGGGACCGTCTCTTCAAAACGAGGACCCAACACCACAGGATGGTTGGGAAAAACAATGTTCCCCCGAGGGGGGTGCAAAGTGACCTAGGATCAAATCGGAAAATCAATTTGACCATCAAAATACGTCGAATACGCAAGTATTGGCAGGCAGATCCGACGTCACCGAAATCGCAGGCCCGAGCCCAGGCCTGCACAGGGAAATCCAAACCGAAACCGAAATTGAAGTCGAACCAAATCGAAATCACATTCCTCGACATCATCATCTGTCATACCGGGGAAAAAACAACCCGAATCTTTTTAGGACTACAGGGCAGGCTCTGGGCCTATAGGGCTATAGGGCTATACGGCCATAGGGGTATAGGGCTGTAGGGCTATAGGCCGACAGGGCTATAGGACCATAGGGCTATAAGACTTCAAGGCTTTAAGGCTATAGGGCTATAGGACTATAGGGCTGTAGGGCTATAGGGCTATAGGACTATTAGGGCTATTGGGCTATAGGGCTATAGGGCTACAGGGCTGAAGGGCTATAGGGCTACAAGGCTATCAGGCTGTAGGGCTATAGGGCTACAGGGCTACCGGGCACCCGGGCACCTGGCACCCGGGCACCCAGGCACCCGGGCACCCGGGCACCCGGGCGTGCCCCAGAAATCGGCGCCACAGCTAACCTAACCATATGAACCCGCTAGGACCCCCACAGAGGCAAGCTTTGCTTGGGGAAAAGTCGCATCGATTCGAATCGAAAGAATCGAAATGACCCCTCGGGAGGGATGATGATGATGATAATAATAATAATAATGATGATGATGGTGATGATGATGATGATGCTGATGATGATACTGATGGTGATGATGATGATGATGATGATGATGATGATGATGATGATGATGATGATGATGATGATGATGATGATGATGATGATGATGATGGTAAAGATACTGATGATGATGCTGAAGAAGATGATGATGATGATGATGACGACGATGATAATGGTGATGATGATGATAATGGTGATGATAATGATGATGCTGGTGATGATGATGATGCTGGTGATGATGGTGATGGTGATGGTGATGGTGATGGTGATGGTGATGGTGATGGTGATGGTGATGGTGATGGTGATGGTGATGGTGATGGTGATGGTGATGGCGATGGTGATGGTGATGGTGATGGTGATGGTGATGGTGATGGTGAGGGTGATGGTGATGCTGATGGTGATGGTGATGGTGATGGTGATGGTGATGGTGATGGTGATGGTGATGCTGATGCTGATGGTGATGCTGATGGTGATGGTGATGGTCATGGTGATGTTCTCTGGTGCTGTGCTGCTGCGCGTGTCTGCGCAGCGTGACAGAAAGGCGGTCGGCCCGGCCAGGGGCCCGCGAGCCCGGCTCCGGACTCGCCTGCGAAGCTTCTCGAGCCGACGCTTGGGCCAGTATGGCTACGGCCTTTTCGGCTCAAGCGTCGGCATTGGAGGGGGGAGGGAGGAGGAGGAGGAGGAGGAGGAGGAGGAGGAAGCGAAGGAGGAGCGAGGAGGGGCGGCCCGCCGGCCCGGGCTGGGGCGCGCGGCGGCGGCGGCGTGAAGCTCTTGCAAATATCTAAACCGAATGTGCGCGTCGCTGAGGCGAGAGCCACATTTTGAAAACAACCCGCCCTTAATACATGAAACCCTTGCGAATGTTTTAAGCGAATGTGCGCGGCGCTAAGGCGAGAGCCACATTTTGAAAACGGCCCGCCCTTAATCCGTGAAACTCTTGCGAATGTTTAAAACGAATGTGCGCGGCGCTAAGGCGAGAGCCACATTTTGAAAGCGACCAGCCCTCCATCTGTGAAGCTGCTGCCACTCTTTCAGCTTCAGGGTCATAAGTGGTGAGGCACTCTCGGGCGAAACGGCCCTAAAAACTGGCCGCCTCGGGGTGCGACACGGAGCAGTTATCCACAAGGAGAAGGAATGGAGAATGAATGGAGGAGGAGGAGGAGGAGCAGGAGGAGGAGGAGAAGCAGGAGGAGAAGCAGGAGGAGGAGGAGAATGAATGGAGGAGGAGGAGGGAGGAGGAGGAGGAGGCTGAAATGGAGGAGGAGGAGGTGCGGGGCGGCCCGCCGGCCCGGGGGGGTCGCCCGGCGGCGCGAGGGGCGGCGGGGGCGCGCCCCATCTCCAGGCGCCCGACGCTGCCGGAGAGGCCCAGCGCTCGCCGCGCGTGCGCCTGGCCGGCGGGCGGCGGGCCGCTGCGCGGAGGGGCCCGGCGGAGGGGGCGGAGCGCAGCGCGCGGGGGCGGCGGCGGGGCGGCCGCCTCGGCACGGAGTCGGAGTCGAAGCGGATCGGCCGCGCACCGCCGTACGCGCGCGCCGCGCCGAGCGTCGGGCCGAATCGGATCCCCAGAGCATCAGGATCGAGCCGGATCGGGCCGGCCAGAGTCGGATCGGCAGCGAAGCGGATCGGCTGGATCGAAAGATGGACCCCGAGGGGGGAGGGGTCCTGGCCATCGCTCGGACGTCCATTTCCTGTGCTTTTTTCGGTCTCGTGCGTGGCTTTTTCGCGAAATGATCAAGGATGCTCCTCGGTGGTCCTCGCTGAAGGAAAAATGCACACGTCCGAGCGATGCCGAGGGTCGGGCTCGAAGGGATGGCGGTCAGCGGAGGGTCTCGCAGGCTGTCGGCGCTGCTTCTTCCTGCCCGAGGAGGCCTCCCCGCGGCGGCGCCCCGCCGAGCGCGCTGCCGGGGGGGGGGGCCCCGAGCGCCCCGAGCGGCCGCCAGGGCCGAGGAGCGGCCCAAGAGAGCCGTGGGGGAGAGGCTCCGGGGAGCGGTCGGGGGGACGGGGGCGGGGGCCAGGCGAGCGGGGGCGGGAGTCGGAATCGGAAGCGGAACAGCGGCGAAGCAACCTCCACACGCCGTCAGCAGCAGGAGGCCTTCGGCCGAAGCCCCCTCTCAGAAGCCTGCCAAGGCGTTCGCGTCTCTTGGGTGTAAATGCCCTGCGGCTGGCAGGCAGGACCCAACAAACGAAGCTGGTCCTGACGCGTGGAGACGGTCGGGGCCAGGGGCGGGGGGCGGGAGGCCAGGGCGGGGGACGGGGGGAAGGGAGGGCGGGCGGGCGAGGTGGCTCCTCCTCCTCCTCCTCCTCCTCCTCCTCCTCCTCCTCCCTCCTCCTCCTCCTCCTCCTCCTCCTCCTCCTCCTCCTCCAGGAGTGGAAGAGAAGGCAGAGGGGGGGGAAGGAAGGGGAGCGTCGGGGGCCCTCAAGCGGTGTGGTGAGCCCGCCGCGCAGCGGGCCGGAGGGAACTCGGAGTCCCCAGGCAGTTTTGGGGGGGCTTGCGTCGTTCTCCGAGGACGCCTCGGGCGACTGGGGCCTCCGAGATCCCAAAGCTGTGCGGTGAGGTCGCTGGGAATTCCGAGGTCACCGCGCGGTCCGTCACCGCACGGTAGTTTTGGGGCCCCCGACAAGCGGTGAAAGGGAGCGGGAAAGAGGCCGGGACGGGGAACGAGGAAGTTCTGTGGCAACTCACGGAAGCCTCAAATGTCATTTCTGTTGGCCCTTGCGAATCGACGCTGATCGACGCTAAATCGGCGCTTTCCCATCGATTACCAGACGCTTGCACACGTGAATGCACCCTGAAGACGGAACATAGAGGGCGCACAATGCTCCCATGATTTGCTACTAAAGCGAAGGGGGGAGAAGATGAGAGGGGAGGGCGCGGGCGAGGGAGGAAGATGGGAACGGAAGCGAGGGGCGAGAAAGGGGGGGCGGGACCCCCGCCCCCCCCCCCCCACCGCTGACTTTCACTCTGGATAGTTGGGGTGGGGTCGAACCCCCCCCTGATTTCCTCCCAACTTGATTACTCAGAAGACGCTCTTTGGGATGTCCGTACCGAGCCCCAGGACCATCCGAACAGAAACAGTCCGGGACGAACAGCTGCTCCTGGCCGAGGCGGACCGAAGAACGAACGAACCACGCAGGGAACGTCCCCAGGAGAGAGCCCGCCAGCCAGCAGCCTGCGTGGGGGACCGCAGCCGCCTCAGAGCTTCTTCACGGTGCCATCCAGGAGCGATGCAAAAAGCATCCTCCTGAAAACGCCCCGCCATTGCTTGTCCAATGCTGCTGCAAACCATGTGGGAAGAGGCTCGGAGTGCCTGGTTTGTGCAACGCTCGTCGAGGGCAAAGACTCTACGAGGACCGTCCCTGATAGTCCAGCCATACTTGGTCTGGCCAGGGTTTGTATGGGGCGCAGCGGACACTCCGGAGCGTGGCGGAACGGTCTGGGAGCGCTCCTGAACGCTCTGGAGCTGCTCATCCCGATGCTGGGCCTGCCCGACTAGTCTCCTCTTTTTGGGGCTCTCGCGATCGTTGGCACGAGCAGCACACGCACCTGCCCTACTTCACAGGCCCAGACCTCCGACGCCGTGTTCTGCCCAATGCCTAACCAGAGGAACGCCCTACATCCTTTCGCGCGGGCTGATTCTTCGTGCTGTGACGTGTTTTGACAGTCCTGGAGCTCACGACAAGCCTCCAGAGGCCGAGGTCGAGCAAAGCCCGGGGGCACTGACGCAGACGGTCCGCTGGAGCTCTGGGCTGCTTCACGAGTGAGTGGCTCGAAGATCACCGCGCTGCAACAATGCCAAGAAGCAGAAGAGGGTGATGAGGCGACCTGCGCTCCCCACTGCGTGCGGGTTGGCTCCCCACTCCAGCTCATCTTCACCATCATCATCCTCCTGCCCCTCCCTCACCTCGTCCTGCTCCTCGTCCATTCCTCTGGCCCCTGCAGACAAGGCCTCCTCCATACATCCCCCAGATGTAGCCCTCCTCCCACGTCTGCTCCACCTTCCCCTCATTCATACACTCCTCCCACTCATCCTCCTCCTCCTCGCCTCCTCCCCCTCCTCCTCCTCCTCCTCCTCCTCCTCCTCCTCCTCCTCCTTCTCCCGCTCACCTTCAATCCTCAACTTCCTCCTCCTCCTGCTCCTGCTCCTGCTCCGCTTCTCCTCCTTTTACTGGTGCACCCTTCTACTCCTCCTCATCCATCCCCCTCCAAATGAATATAACTCCTCCCTGTCGCAACCCGAGACGTATCGGGAGGGCGGGCTGGCGTTCCGCCTGATTTCCTCACCATGTATGGTCCTGAAGCTCGAACTTCGAAAAAGCTTCACGGATGGAGGGCGGGGCGTTTTCAAGACGTGGTCCTGCCCTCAGCGACGCGCACGCTCGCCTCGAGAGTGCGCGAGGGCTCCACGGATCGAGGGCGGGTCGTGCTACAGACTCGGCTCTCGCCGCAGCGCCGCGCACGGTCGCCTGAAAGCTTGCAAGAGGCCTCACGGACGCAAGGCGGGCGGTCTTCAGAGTGCGGCTCCCGCCTCCGCGCCGCACCCATTCGCCTCGAGAGCTCGCACGGGCTCCACGGGCGGAGGGCGGCCGGTGTTCAAAGTGCGGCTCTGGCCGGAGCGCCGCGCCGCTTCGCCTAAAAAGTTCGCCCGAAACTCACGGGCGGAGAGCGATTGCTTTTCAAGACGTGGTTCTCGCAATGGCACCGCGCACATTCGTCTTCTCAGTGTTTAACAAGTGTCGGTGTCAAGTAGTCTTGTGGTTCACGCCCCGGGGTGATTCGCGGCGTTGAGCTCCAAGAAACGGTGAGTTGGCACGGTTGTAGATGTTGTGGAATTGGCTCTTCCCGCAGTGACAATCAATCCTTACAGGAGCTCGTGTAGAGGGAACTTGGAGAGAGGGCTTAGTGCAACGTAATTGATGAGTCTTGGGTTTACACGGGTCCTCCTCCTCCTGACCCTCCTCCTCCTTCACATCCACATCCACCTCCTCCTCCTCGTCCGCCCCTCCACCTCCTCCTCCTACCCCCTCCATCCTCCTCCTCATCCGTCTCCTGTTCGTCCTCCTCCTCCTCCCTCCTCCTTCTTCCCTCCTCCTCCTTCTCATCCTCCTCATCCTGATCATCGAAATCATCAGCATCAGCATCATCATCATCATCATCATCATCAGCATCATCATCAGCATCATCATCACCACCACCACCACCACCACCATCATCATCATCATCATCATCATCATCATCATCATCATCATCATCACCATCATCATCAGCATCATCATCATCATCAGCAGCATTATCAGAAACACCGTCATCAGCACCCTTACATTTATCATCAGCATCAGCATCATCAGCATCAGCATCAGCATCATCATCATGGTCACCATCAGCATCATCATCAAAATCATCAGTATCATCATCATCATCAACCACATCATCATCAGCATCAGCATCATCAGCATCAGCATCAGCATCATCATCATCATCAGCAGCATCACCACCATCCTCAACATCATCATCATCATCATCATCATGAGAATCACCCGCCTCATCATGATTATCAGCATCCTCATCACCATCATCATCATCATCAGCATCATCAGCATCATCATCATCAGCCTCATCATGATCATCAGCATCCTCATCACCATCATCATCATCATCATCATCATCATCATCATCATCATCATCATCATCATCATCCGCCTCCTGCTCATCCTGCTCCACCTCCCCCTCGGCCGCATACGCCTGGCATCGACGCGGGTGTCCCTGATGGGGGTGGACTGCATCATACTGCGCCGAGCAGATGACGTAAAGCTCTGGTCCTCCGCCTCCTAATCCTCTTCCTTCTCCTCCTCATCCTTCTCCTCACAATCATCACCATAATCCTCAGCATAACCGTCACAATCGCCATCACCATCAACATCAGCATCAGCATCAGCATCAGCATCACCATCATCCTCATCATCATCATCATCATCATCATCAACATCATCAGCATCCTCATCATCAGCATCAGCACAAAGATCAGCAGCAGCATCATCGCCACCCCCACCGCCAACAACATTATCATAGTCATCGTCATCGTCGTCGACATGATCATCAGCATCAGGAGTATCATCATCATCATCAGCATCATCATCATCATCATCAGCACCAGCATCATCATCATCATCATCATCATCAGCATCATCATCATCAACATCATCACAATCATCATCATCAGTATCCTACTCCTCATTCCCATCCTCATCATCCTCATCATCATCATCAGCACCATCAGCATCAGCATCAGCAACAACATCATCAGCATCAGTATCATCATCATCCTCATCCTCATCCGCATCATCATCATCATCATCATCATCATCATCATCATCATCATCATCATCATCATCATCCCCCGTCACCATCATCATACTAAGCATCAACATCAGAATCAGCAGAATCATCGTAATCAGCAGCGTGTGCGTCAGCATCAGCATCATTTGCATCATCACCATCAAACAGCAAGTGCATCATCATCATCACCATCACCACCACCATCGTCAGCAGTGGCAACAGTGTCGTCGGCATCATCGTTGGCATTAGTATCGTCATCATCATCATCGTCATCAGCAGCAGCATCAGTGTAACTCATGATCGCCATCAACAGCAACTGTATCCCCATCGTCGTCAACACCCTCACCGGCAGAACATTTGTAATAATGATAACAACAATAATGGCCAGCAGCATCGTCACAATCATCGTCCTCATCATCATCCTCAGCAGCAGCATCAGCAGCACCATCATAACCATCATAAACAGCCATTACCATCATCATCATCATCACCACCAGTACCGTCATCAGGATCGTCATCCTATGCACGGTCACCATCATCAGCATCATCATCCACATCGGCAACGATATTGTCACCGTAGTCGTGTTCACCGTCATCATCCTCGTCAACATCATCTTCATCATCATCATCATCATCATCATCAGCACCACCAATCATCATGACATCATCATCATCATCGTGATCGTCGTCATCATCATGATCATCATCAGCATCGTCAGTATCATCAAAGTCATCGTCGCCATCATCATCGTCATCACCAGCATTATCATTATCGGTAACCCTTTCATAGATAGTCATGAGCATCAGTACCATCATCATCATCATAATTACCATCATGACCAGCATCATCGACACAATCATCGTCATCATCACAATCACAAATATAATCACCATCATCATCACCATCATAATCATCATCACCCTAATCATCACCATCAGCATTACCAGCATCATCGTCATCGGCATCACCAGCATCATCGGCATCGGTATCGCAAACATCAGCATCACCTCAGCATCAGCACGGTCGTTAAGAACATAACCATCGTCAACAGAAGCAGCAGCACCACCCTCATCATCAGCAGTAGCATCATCATCAACAACAGCATCATCACCACTATGATCAGTATGGTTATCATTAGCAGCATCATCAGCAGCAGTATGATTAGCAGCGTCACCATCATCAGCAGCTGCACCATCAGCATCACCATCATCGAAGTCATCATCAGCAGCATCAGCATCATCAGCATCGTCTGCATCATCATCAGAGCCAGCATCATCATTACACGTATCGTCGTCATCACCACCGTCACCCCCATCATCAGCATCATCATCAGCATCACCATCGTTATCATCATTCCCAACCTCAGCATCATCATGATCACCATCGTTATTACCAGAACCGTCGTCAGCAGTAGCAGCATCATCGTCGTCATCATCAGCAGCAGCACCATGATCACCAACGACACCAGCAGCAAAAACAACAGCAACAACATCAACAATCATTATAAGACTGCTCGCTCTTACTTGCCCGCTTGTCATTCAAAACGAGTTCCCCACACCCTCGATACCCGCCCTTTGTGTCCGGTCACACCCCCTGTGGGGTGATTCTTTCTCTTTGCGGGGGGCGGCGGGCTTAGACAGGCGGGCAAACCTGAACGGGCACACAATCCTTCGTGGGCGTACATGTGCCCGCCATTGGAATTGGTGTGGGCCCACAAAAAAGAGGAGGGGGAGAACGAGGGAGAGTGGGAGCAAGGGAAGGGGAGGGACGAAGGAAGAGGGAAAAAAGCCAGGAGAGAAGGAGCGAAAAGGGGGGCGGTTGATTCGAGGCAGAGTGAGAGAAAGAAACCAAAACAAAAGTAGAGAAAGAGAGAGAGAGAGGGGGGGAGAGAGAGAGAGAGAAAGAAAGAGGGAGGGAGGAGGCAGGAGAGGGGAGAAGAAGGGAGGAGAGAGAGAGGAGAGAGAGGGGATAGGGCAGAAAGGCATAAGGATGAGGGAAGAGAGGAGGGAGAGAGAAGGGAGGAGAGGAGGGAGGAGGGAGGAGGGAGAGGGAGGAGGAGCAGGAAGGTAAGAGCGTGAACGTTCGAGGAAGTCCTAGGCGAAAGCGCCGTTCCTGATGGAAGTCTCGGGCGGGAGCCCACGACGGGCGGGCGATCCCCTGACGGGCGGGTCGGGCGGGTGGGACATTCAAGCGGGATGCACGAGTATGGCGAGAGCGCGATTACTAAGTAAATTGTAGCGGCGACCTTGGCGAAGCGTGTTTCCTGAGCGTCGAGAGCGCAATTCCTGAATGAAATGTGAAGGGTTCTCTGGCGGGAGCGGGGGCCTTGAATTGCGAGGAAGTCTTGATTCAATTGCGAGGAAGTCTCAAGTGGGAGCGCCGTTCCTGAGCAAATTGTGAGAAGTCTCAGATGGGAGCGGGGTCCTGACTAAATTGCGAGGAAGTCACAGGCGGGAGCACCGATCCTGAGTAAATTGTGAGGAAGTCTCAGGAGCGGGGGTCCCGAGCAAATTTGGAGGAACTCTCAGGCGGGAGCCGTTGTTGTTGTAATCTGGGGGGCCAGGGGCCCAGTTTGAGCGCCAAGACTTTCCCTGTCAGAAAACAAGGTGCGAGCGTCGAGGGACACGCTTTGACTGAGAAAAAACAGTATGCACCGGTGAGGGGGATCAACAATATTTTTCTTCAGGAATGAGAATTCAATAACAACAGCAGCAGCAGCAAAAACAACAACAACAACAACAACAACAACAACCACAACAACCACAACAGCAACAGCAGCAGCAACAACAACAACCTCATCATCATCATCATCATCATCATCATCATCATCATCATCATCATCATCATCATCATTATCATCATCATCATCATCATCATCATCATCATCATCATCATCATCATCATCAGCATCATCATCACCATCATCATCACCATCAGCATCATCATCATTATCAGTATCATTACCGTTGCCAGTGCCATCACCAGTATCATCAGGGTTATCATTACCATCCCAATCATCAACAGCGTTATCATCAAAATCATCATCATCATCCACATCGGCATAATCACCACCATCAGCACAATCATCAACATCACCAGCATCATCATCATAATCGTCGTCATTATCATAATCGACGTCATCATCATCATCATCAGCATCATCATCACCATAACTACCACCACCATCAGAATCATCATCACTAGCATCACAGCATTACTCATCCTCATCATCATTATCATCATGCTCATCATCAGCAGCATATCCTCATCAGCATCGTCAGCATCACCATCATCAGCAGCAGCATCATCATGCTCATCATCATCATCATCATCATCATCATCATCATCATCATCATCATCATCATCATCATCATCAGGGTCGAGCTCTGCTGGCGCTGGCTTCCAACGCCCGTCCTCCCCTCGTGATCTCGATCGCAGTCGCGCACAAGGGGAGGAGGGGGGGAGGAAGACGGGATGGGGGATGACGATCACGTCCACCCACACACAGGAGGAGGAGGAGGAGGAGGAGGAGGAGGAGGAGGAAGAAACGCCATTGCTGAAGGGGCCCTGGGACACACAAATGAATACACACAAATAAAAGGATTCCCCAGATTTTCCTATATTTTCTGCGTTTTTGTCTTCCCCCCCGCTTCCCATGTTTTCCCATATTCCCCTGGGAGTGGACGATTATTTGTGTCTGTGTGTTTTTTCCCCTCCTGAATTGCTTTGAGCCTGCAGCCCGAGACACGAAAAAAAGTATTGTGCTCGCGCCAGCATGGACTTTGGATCCGTGGATCTGTCGCGTGGACGCCAGATCCCCGCATCGGGGAGAGTAGGAAGCTGGGCGAGAGCTGCTAAAACCGTGGCAGCTAAAACGGCCCTCCCGGAAGGAAAAAACAACTTCCCGGAATGAGGCGCGGCACGCGAAACAGTCAACGGGCTCCTTCCCGGAAGGACGAAGACAACTTCCCGGAGGTCGAATTTAGCAGCCACGGATTTAGCAGCCCTGGGCCAGCTTCCGAGAGAGTACCAAAGACGGAACGCGAATTCGGGCCGCCTGCTTTGGCGGCGGAGCGTGCCGATTCTGCACGGCGGCGGGACCCGTCGCACATCCGCGCGCCTGGCGTTTCGGCATGCTGCAGGATCTTCACACGGTTGTCCCTCCACGGGGCACTTCCCTGCGGAAGCGGACCCCTGTATGGGGCCTATGAAGAGGGAGCTTGCAGGGAGGGTGTCATCGTTGATGAGTCTTGGGTTTACACTGGTCATTCTCCTCCTCCTCATCCTGCTCCTGCACCCCTCGAAACTGTTGGGAGTGAGCTCGGGAGAGGCAGTCCCCATCCTGCCCAAACCCCATCCTGCCTCTGCCCCCCATCATCCTCCCCACCATCATCATAATCCTCCCTCGTCTCTCCTCATCCTCCTCCTCGTCCCTCCTCCCGCCTCCCTTATCCTCCTCCCCTCCTTAGAGCTCTCCGTCTGCACGCTGAGCTGGACCCCGCCAGCAGTGAGGAGTCGCCGTGTGACAGTGGATCTGCCGGCGCGCTGCTCTAATTTGCCAGGGTGGAGCCGAGGCAACGCCGCAGCCTCTGCGAAGCCTCTGTTCAAGCGAAGAGGGAGGAGGGCGAGGAATGCGGAGGAATTGATGGAGCCAGGTCTGGCTCGTGATCCGATCGGATATGCGCAGGAGTAGGCGGGAACGGGCGCAGAGGCGGAGGGAGGAGGGAAACCGAATGAAGGAGAAGGGTGGAAGGGGGTAATGAGAGAGGTGGCCGGAAGGAGGGAGGAGGATCCGTCATGAGCCCTTTTCGGCTCGAGCGGCTCGTATGTTGGACAGCAATTCCTCATACCGCCTTTATCATCCACGTGTCTGGCATTGGCGACAACCCCATCGGGAGTCTGCGTAGGGAGCGCCGTCCAGAAGCATTCCGCCGCTGCAGACCAGCGCAAGCGCAGGCGCGGGCCCGCAGGCCCTTTTCAGGCGCACGACGGGTGTAGTATTTACGCGTTCGCCCTGGTGAGAAGAAGAAGAAGAAGACGAAGAAGAAGAAGAAGAAGGGAGAAGCAGAAAGAGAAGACGGAGACGAAGAAACCGCATACTGATCTGCGATGGACCCCCCCCTGGCGCGAGGAGCGCGCGAGACGCGAACCGCGCCAGGGGTGGCGCCGGAGGCGCCGCCACGGGTGCCCAGCGCCGAAACTCCCTGGACATCTATTCGGGTGCGTTCTGACCAGAATTTCGGTGCGAATCCAGCGGTGGCAACCAGGGCCTCCCAGGAGGCCCGAAGAGGGGAAAACGGGCGAAGGGCAGCGGTATCGGCACCGCTTCCTCCTCTGAGCCTCCGCGAAAAAGGGGGAGGCACGGGGCTGCCCCTGGATCGCAGGGGCACCCAGGTGGGCACGGGGAGGAGGCGCAAGGGCGCCAATCCGGCGCCGGGACGCCCTCCCCACCATCCCACAACTGGCCCGCCATGCAGCAGTTTCGGCCGAGGACAAGGACCGCATTGTAATATCCGAAACGATAAAAGCGTTATGGGGGGAGGGGGGGGACCGGAGGGGGGCACAACGCAACGCCCCCCCCACACTGTGGTGCCGGACGCACTGTGGCAGTGCCGGGGGGGGGGGCACTGAGGGGGGCAGCGTTACGTTATGGGGAGGGGAAGAGGGGGGGAGGGTAGGGGGCATAATGCGCGTGGTGTGCAACGCCTGCTTCTGGATGCCAGCACTGGCGATGTTCTTCACTGTGCCAACGAAGCCCCGAGGCTATAGGACAGGATCGCGAGTGCAATTGAGCATCTTGTCTGCGCCTATCCTGCACCGCGTTCGGACGCGGTGGACCTCATCGCCACCTGGGTCGGGTCGATGGACAAGACGCACCAAGACTAGTGCAAGGGCGTTGCCACCAAGCTCGTCGTACAGACCCGTCTTTACTATAGAATCGTGCTTTTTTTCATGGTAGCATTGGGATCACGCCTTATGCGATCGTGCCCTCAGCGTTGCATTCAGGATCCTACCTCAAATAATTATGTTTTGGGACTGCGCCTTCTGCGCGCCCTTCTGCAATCTCGATTTGTGCGCTGGTGCGTTGGGATCTCGCCCGATGCGCATGTTGTTGGGATCGTGCCTTATGCACTCGGCCTGCAGTGGGATCGCGCCGCACGCGCATTTTTCTGGGATCACGGCGAATGCGCAATCGCATGGGGATCGCGCCAATTCGCGCCTCGTGCGTTCTTGCATCAGTGTCGTGCCAAACCTTATGCACTTAGAGTTTAGCATTGACGGAACCCTGTCACTGCCAGCCATATGGCTGCGTTGCTCCTGCCTCCGCACGGCGCAGACCTGTGCCTACTCCTCGGCGCGCCGCGGTACCTCTGCCGTGTCCCACTGCGCCCGCCCGCCAGCTCCAGCTGCTGGCAGCCGCCCTCCAGCCACCCTTGCCACAGTGGTTTGCCAAGGCCGCCCACCGCGCTCTGGCCCTGCGCGCCTGGCTGCTGCCCCCCCGGCTGCTCATCGTCGAACTCTTCGACGTCTGAGCGTCCCTTCTTCCTCTCGGCCGTTTCCACCCCTCTTTGACCGCCGGCCAATTCGCTAGTTAGTGGTCATTTCTAGCTTCTCGCTGGAGCGGAGCTGGCCGTCTCGCCGCTGACGGAAAAGTTTAGCATTGACGGGGGAGGTCGCGCCACTCGGAGGCGGTGATTCTGACACCCTCCTCTGTGCGCCTATTTTGGCTCAAGATGAAAAGGAGATATTGCAGTACATCGGCATATTATCTCATCATGGTAGCGTGAGCTGGCCACTCACTGCTGCCGACCCCACCCAGGCCTCGGCGCGCCGCGGCCGCGGGCGCCACGGCGAGCCAGCAGGAGGCTCGAGGCTGGAAGAGGGCGGCATCGACCGCGGCAAGCTCGGCAGCGTCCGAGCGACCGGCAGGGGCCGGGAGAGGCGGCCGCAGGCGCGGCAAGCGGAGTGAGGCGGCGATCGAGACCAGGCGCAAGGCCCTCCAGTTCAAGCACGACTTGAGGGAGACTGGCAACCAGCTCCGAGACCTCGCACATATCGAGGACCATCCCTCGGAGAACTCATCGGACGCCATTGAGGAGGCGCAGAAGGAGGTCCTAGGCAGGATCACGGACCTTGAGCGCACGAGGCAGGAGATAGCAGAGAGCCGGGAGGAGCTCGCCGAGAGACACGCTGTCAAGCATGGACGAGCAGGTTCGGCAGCAGTTCGAACTGCTGAGGCAGGAGTTCGCGGCTCAAATAGGCCAGGCCGCCGACGAGATGAGGAGGCTGGAGAGCGAGAATCAGCGTCTTCAGCAGCAGGTGGCAGGAGGCCTCGCGGCAATCCCGCAGGCGATCGAGCGGATGGGCGAGCAGATCCGGGGCGCGTCGAGTATGGGCCCAGCCGCTCACGGTCTCGTCGACACGAAGGGGATCGGCAAGCCCACGACGATGGGCGACGATCAAGAGAAGTTCGGCGCTTGGAATCGCAAGATGGAGAACTACGTGATCGGCGTGTACGGAGAGAGTTTTCGTCCCGTTCTTCGGTGGGCTGCAGAAGCCGAACGCCCCGTGACGATCGCGGGGGCTCAGGCGGCGCACGACGGAGTGCCAGAGCTGGAGACAAAGGTCAACCAGCTGTACGCGGCGCTGATCAGCACGACGGCGGACGGGAGCGAGAGCAACGACCTCGTGACGGGCGCTCCCGATGGGAACGGTCTCGAAGCCTGGCGGAAGCTCCACCGCAGGTGGGATCCGACGACAGGTCCGAGGAAGAGGCTGATCCTGAGGTCGATCATCTCGCCTCCGAAGTGCAGCGCGGACGAGCTGGGGTCCGCCTTAGAGAAGTGGATCCAGCAGATAGGCAGGTACGTACGCCGCCAAGGAGAAGATGGTCTAGCCGAGCTGCCGGAGGATATCAAGATGGCGGCTCTCGAGATGCTCGTGCCTCAGGACATCGAGAACCACCTCGTCCTCAACAAGCATCGGCTCGAAACGTTCCAGGACAGTCTGAACGAGGTGATGACGATCGTGGAGGCTCGGACCGGCGTGAAGATCAAGGAGCCATCGATCCGTGCGCGGGCGCATCATCCGGACGACATGGACGTCGGGTCGTTCGGAGCCCCGAAGGGCAAAGGCAAAGGCAAGGGCAAGGACGGCAAGAGCAAAGGGAAAGGCAAGACTCAGGAGCCGAAGGGGAAGAGCAAATCGACGAACGGATCATACTCAGGCTCCCGCACATCCCCGACGGGTTCGGGCCGTGGTTCAGGGCACACGGCACCTCGATACACCAGCGGGCGCTTCGACGGCTACTGTCGGAACTGCGAGAGATGGGGCCACAAGGCATCCGACTGCTGGAAGAAAGAGCAGGGATCGAGTTCGAGGGCTGGAACTGGATCCGCAACGGGGGCAAGCGCTGGTGGTAAAGCCGGTAGCCGCGGCGGCAAGGCCGGCGGCAAGGCTGCAGGCAGCCTGGAGGAGGAGCCTGAAGCGGAGGTCGCCGCTCTGGACATGGGCAGCCTGGACTGCCTGGAGCTCGCCAGCGGCAGCGGCCGCGGCGTAGCGGCGGTCGATCTCTCTCCCTTCGCGCAGGACGACTGGATGAAGTTCAACTGGGACAGCGGTGCAGCTATCTCAGCATTCCCTCGGAGCTTCGCGCCGCCGACGGGAATGAAGGGCAACGGCAGCACGTATCGTACGGCCAGTGGTGAGCTCGTCCCGGACGAGGGCAGCTTGCAGCTCAAGGCGGAGGACGAGTACGGAGTGCTACGAGCGCTCAAGGGACGCGTGACGAACGTGCACAAGCCGTTGATCTCGGTGGGGCAGGCAGCAGGAGCTGGACAGTGTTCATTCCTGGGCCGCAATGGCGGCTGGATATTCCACGAGAAGAGCCCAATCGGCAAGCGCGTGGTAGGCATGCTCGAGAAGGAGGCGAAGGCGGCGAAGCACCAGATGCTGCCGGTCTATCGCGAGCAGGGCGTCTACAACTTCTACCTCAAGAAGGGCCAACATGGCTCGGTTGCTCCTCTCGAGGAGGGACTTTCGGCGAAGTCGAAGTCCGAGCTGGTGGAGCTCCTCAGCGGCAAGTCGAAGGAGGAGCTGCTGGAGATCCTCGAGAAGACAGTCCCCAGGAGGCAGCCCTCGGCGTAAGCCCACTGGAGGACTTAATACCACGGCCCCCGGCGGCATCGGCTGCGGGGGCGGCAGCGGCGGGGTCGGGACCTTCCGACGTGAGACCGCCGGGTTTTCAGCCAGCGGCAGCTGCTGCGGCCGACGCTTTGCCAGCTGCTCCTGATGGACAGCAGGCCGACGAGGGCGAGGAGGAGGCTCGCCCGAGAGTGCTGAAGGCACCTCATGAGCCCTCTCAGAGGGAGATCGCCGAACACGAGGCGATGGGACACGCGACTTATCGCAGCTGGTGTCGCGTGTGTATTGCGGCAAAGGGCCAAGGCCAGCCGCATCTCCGCGCACCGGAGGACGACGAGACAGCGGTGCCGGTGGTCTCGTCCGACTACGCCTTCATGGGCCAGGACGACGCGGACACCATGCCGATGCTGGTCCTTAGGGATCGGCGCTCGAAGATGATGGCGGCGACATTCGTGGAGAAGAAGGGCGACGACGCCTACGCCATCAAGTTCTTCGCACGCTTCTTGCGGATCCTGGGCTACAGGAAGATCGTCAACAAGTCCGACGGCGAGCCAGCGATCCTGCTGGTCAAGAGGCGTGCGGTGGAGGAGGTTCCTGGCCTCGAGGCCATTCCCCAGGAGTCGGCACCGGCCGATCATCAGGCCAATGGGGAGATTGAGGTCGCGGTGCGCGAGATCAAGAAGCAGGTGCGGGCGCTCAAGATGGACCTGGAGTCCAAGCTGGGCGTCAAGGTGGAGGACAAGCACCCGGTGCTAGCGCACCTGCCGGAGCACGCCGCATCGGTAATCAACCGATACCGGCGCGGCCAGGACGGCAAGACCGCTCTTCAGCGGCTCACGGGACGGCAGTGGAGGAAGCCGGTCCCGCTCTTCGGCGAACGCTTGATGGCGCGGTTCGCCGGGGAACGCGTGAGGAAGAACGCGCTGGAGGAGCAGATGGTGGAGGCTCGCTACATCGGCCACCACCCGCGCGACGGCTCGATGATGGTCATCACGAGCGACGGCGTGAAGAAGGCGGTCGGCTTCCGCAGCCTGCCGCAGAGCGAGAAGTGGATCACGGCGGGCTGGGATGGCCTGAAGGGCCTGCCGTGGGACGTGGCTCCGCGTGCGGCAAGCGCGCCGCGGGCCATCGTCGGACCTGGAGAGGTCGGTCCGTCACCAATTGTGGTGGTGTCGCCGCAGCCGCAGGCGCCGAGGAGGATGTACGTCCTCAAGGCGGACGTCGAGCGGCTGGGCGCAACGCCGGGATGCCCAGGGTGCGTCTCGATCGCTAAGCACGGCCGGGTGCTGGCTGGCCACGCGCACAACGCGGTGTGCAGCAAGAGGATCTTCGAAGCGCTGGACGCGGAGGAGGCAGGCCGGGAGAGGACCGGCCAGTATCGAGAGCGGAGGCAGGGCCAAGAGGCCAGAGTTCGACCGGCGGCATCGGCCGCGGCAGGGACCCCTCCGCCGAAGACGGCTCGGAGGATCACCGAGCCGGTGGCAGCGGCGGCAGCGGCATCGGCCGCGCCGGCCGCGACCCGCTCGGCAGCAGCGCCAGCCGTGGCAGCCACGGCGGCGCGCCGGCGAGAGAGCCAGCCGGTAGCACCGGGCTTCGGCGTGGCGGCTCCTTCAGGAGGAGCGAGCTCCAGTTCGGGAGCAGCGCGAGCGGCAGAGGCCGCCGCGGATGTCGACATGACCGCGGCTAGGTCGCGGCTGAAGCGCTCGGCAGAGGTGGCCCCGGATGATGTGCCGGAGGCCCTCGAGCGCGGTGATCCACAGCCGGCAGACGTGCCGGTACCGGTGGACATGGAGGATCTCGCGGCGCAGCCGGCGCCGGCGGAAGGACCTCAGCTGCCAGCTGGAGTGGCAGTCGTGTGGAACGCCAGTGAGGGGAGGCACATGCGGGTGCTCGCCCTCGATGTGGCGTCGATCGAGCTGGTTGAGCTCGGAGTGCTGACGAGAGCGAAGGCGGAGTTGCTCCCGCTCGTTCGCGAACAGGTCAGTGGCCATTGGGCCAGCGCCGGCGTGGACATCGCCGACGAGGAGGTGGACAGCATCGCCCTATCGGCGTTGCAGCTGGGCGCCGTGGACGTGGCCGAGGTGTACTCGCCACATCGGTTCTCGGCTCGGGCAGCGGAATTTCAGCTGCGCCCGGGCTTCGCGGCGGACCTGGAGGAACTCAAGGAGGACGGGACGCCGTGGGACTTGCGGCGCCCCGAAGATGTCAAGGAGCTCGAGAAGCAGCAGGAGCGGATGGATCCCATCCTGCTCACGGGGTCCCCTCCATGCGAGAAGTTCAGCTTGCTGAGGGGCCTGAGTGCCAAGTTCAGGACCGATGAGCAGGAGGCGGCTGAGATGGAGGAGGCCAGACACCACCTGAAGGTGGCAGTCGACGCCTACTGGCGTCAGCTCAGGAAGCCAGGCAGGTACTTCTTGCATGAGCATCCCTGGAGCGCGCGATCGTGGAATGAGGACATCGTCAAGGAGCTGGTCGCGCATCCAGGAGTCTTCACGGTCAAAGGCCCCATGTGTCGGTGGGGCATGAAGCTCACGAACCCCCGCAATGGCCAGGAGGAGTTCGTGCGCAAGGAGACCGGATGGGTCACCAACCATCCAGGCCTAGCCCGGAGGCTGCAGGGCACTTGCAGCAATGTGGACGGCCGCGCGGAATGGCATCGCCACATCACGCTCGTGGGCGGCATCGCGCGGTTCGCGAAGGTCTATCCACCGAAGTTGGTGGAGGCGGTGCTGGAGGAGCTCAAGGACACGCTGAATGACGTGGGAGAGCTCAGCACCGCCCAGGTGCAGCAGTCGGGCCCAGTCCCTGTGGACGCGGCAGTGCCGCCCGGGGACTGGACGAGTTACTGGGACGACGTCAATGGCGGCTACCTGGAGGCGGGCCTTGTGGCCCAGGCTCGCACGGTCGAGCGCGAGTGGGTCAAGAAGCAGGAGCTGATCGAGATCGTCCCGAGGTCTCAGGCTTTGCCGAGACTGGGCGTCCGCCCATCCCACTCAAGTGGGTCGACACGAACAAGGGTGACGCGGAGAGGCCCAACTACAGGAGCAGGCTCGTCGTGAAGGAGATCAAGGCGAAGAAGCGCCCTGACGAGCAGCTGGAGGCGTCCGAGGTCTTCTCGGCCATGCCTCCTCTGGAGGCCATGCGGTCGCTGGTCTCGCTGATGGTCACGTGGACGCGGGAACCACCGCTCCACATTCAGGAGTCGCTTCGCAAGAAGGGCAGGAAGCCGGGCAACTTCAAGATCGGCTTCTTCGACATCAGCAGGGCGCACTTCTACGGGAAGGCGCAGCGGAGGATCTTCGTGGAGCTGGAGGAGGAGAGTCGCAAGGAGTACGGCGAGGACAAGTGCGGCCTACTCCTCAAGTCCTGGTACGGCACGCAGGACGCCAGCAAGATCTGGCAGGGCGACTACACGGAGCTGCTGGAGGAAAACGGCTACAAGGCGGGCGTGTCGTGCCCAGCGGTCTTCTACAAGGAGGTGGACGAGACGAGGCTGCTGGGGCACGGCGACGACTTCGCGGTGCTGGCTCAGCAGCAGGACATCGACAGCTTCGAGGCCACGCTGGGCAAGAAGTACGAGTTCAAGAAGACTGCGAACCTAGGCTTCGACGAGGGCGATGACAAGCAGGCGGTCTTCCTGAATCGGGTCATCGAGGTCAGTGCGGGAGTTCCGCCTGGCGGTGGCCGGCCCTGCCGGCATGCGATGATCGAGCCGGACAAGCGGCACGCGGAGATCGTGATCGACGAGTTGGGTCTCAGCAAGGCCAACGGCGTGGACGCGCCGACGGAGAAGCGCAGCGCCGACAAGCAGATGATGGATGCGAAGTCGGCGGCGTTGGGAGCAGCGGAAGCTTCGCGCTTCCGATCCCTCACCATGAGGGTGGCCTACCTGTCTCAGGACAGGCTGGACTTGGCTGAGGCATCGAAGACGCTCGCCAGGTCCATGCAGACGCCAACGGAGGCGAGCTGGCTCATGCTCAAGAGGGTTGGCCGCTACCTCAAGCGGCATCCTAGCACGGTGACGGTTTTCACGGAGCAGAAGACGTTCGACAAGATCCGGGTGTACGTGGACTCCGATCATGCAGGCTGTGCAGTCACGCGGAAAAGCACCGGAGGCTTCGTGGCGATGCTGGGGCATCATGTAGTCAAGCACGGCAGTAACCTGCAGTCGACGGTTTCATTGAGCAGCGGGGAGAGCGAGTACTACGCCCTGGTGAAGGGCGGGAGCGTGGGCCTAGGCCTTCACAGCCTCTTCGCGGATTGGGGGCTGGACCTGAAGGTGGAGCTTGCCTCGGATTCATCGGCGGCCCGGGGCCACGTCCAACGGCGAGGTCTCGGGAAGATGCGGCATGTTCAATCACGATACTTGTGGATCCAGGAGCGTGTTGGCAAGGGCGATCTCTCGATCGCTGCAGTTCCTGGCAAGAACAATGTCGCGGACGTGCTGACCAAGAGCGTGGGTGGCTCCCTGTTGAGGAGACACATGGCCACGCTGAACATCTGGGATCGGGCACCGAGTTCGAATCAGAAGGACATCAAGTGATGGAGTGGATCGAATCCATGCTCCGCTACCTGTGGGGCTGGATGAGGTTCCGCCGGCGGCGGTATGATCGCGCCGGGCGGAGTGAGGGGCTCGCGGCATGGCCGCAGCCTAGCCGATGAGCTGGGCGCGTCGGCTCGGGCGCGCCCGCGTACGACTTAAGTCGTGCCTGGCCGGTTTGCGGCCAGGCCCGAGGAGGAGTGATTCTGACACCCTCCTCTGTGCGCCTATTTTGGCTCAAGATGAAAAGGAGATATTGCAGTACATCGGCATATTATCTCATCAGGCGGGGCCGGCCCCCCACAGCATACCCGCGTCGTGCCGCGGTTATGCCACGGGGTACTATAGGGATAATTCACACACAGCAATCAATATGTACATGCATACAAACATACGTACGTACATACACACATACATACATAAAGACATACATACGTACCTACAGACATACAGACATACATACAGACAGACAGACAGACAGACAGACAGACTCACGGACAGACATGCATGCATGCATGCATGCATGCATGCATTCATGCATGCATGCATATATGCATGCGTGCACATATGCATACATACGTGCAGATGTACATACATACATACATACATACATACATACATACATACATACATACATACATACATACATACATACATGCATACATGCATACATGCATACATGCATACATGCATACATGCATACATGCATGCATACATGCATACATGCATACCTACCTACCTACCTACTTACCTACCTACCTACCTACATACATACATACATGCATGCATACATTCCATACATACATGCATACATACATACATACATACGTACATGCATACATCTATACATACGTACATATGTGCATACGTACACGCATACATACGTACATACGTACACGCATACATACAAGCATGCATGCATGCATACATGCATGCATACATACATGTATACATGCATACATGCATACATGCATACATACATGCGTACATACATACATGCATACATACATGCATGCATACATATATACATACATACACACATACATACATATATGCATACATGCATACATACGGACATGCATACATACATACATGCATGCATGCATGCATGCATACATACATAAATATATGCATATATACATACATGCATACATACATGCATGCATACATACATACATATAGCATACATGCATACATACATGCACGCATGCATATAAACATACAAGCACGAATGCACCTATATATATATATATATATATATATATATATATGTGTGTGTGTGTACACACATAAAACCATGTATAGTCTTCAAGGGGGCAGGAACCACATGCTCGAAATCTCCTGGAGTGTGCCGCGCTTCCCCTGGGCCCCCCCGCGTCTCCCCGCGCAACTTTTCAGGGGCCCCATAGGGCCCCAAGATGGGCGACGAGGGCTCCAAGAGGCCACCACGACGGTCCAAGAGGACCACGAGAAGCCCAATGATCGCAAGACGCCCAAGATGACCCCCAGACGGCCCAAGAGGCCTCCAAGACGCCCCAAGAGGCCTCCAAGAGGCCTTCCAAGAGGGCCCCAGGAGGCCAAAATCATGAATTTGCCTGCGGATGTTTGGAGGATGCTGGCAATCTCGCCGTTCCAGCTTCCCGACGCTGCCAGACGGCCTTGCCCTAGGGGCTCCCAAGACTGCCCCAAGACGGCCCAAGAGGCCTCCAAGAGGGCCCCATGACGGCCCAAGAAGAAGACGGCCCAAGAGGCATCCAAAACGGCCCAAAAGGGCCCCAAGACGGCCCCAGAATGAGCCCAAGAGAAGGAATACGGAACCGGATATCCGACCGAGCATCTCGCCCCAAGATCCCCCAGGAGGCCCCAAGAGGCACCGAGAAGGCCCCAAGGGGCCCCCAAGAGGCCCCCAGGTCCCAAGAAGCCCCCAAGCGGCGCAAAAGAGGCCCCAAGAGGCCCCAAAACGGCACTGCTGCATACCCTCAGCCCAGGCACGGTGGCGGGATGGGCCGAAGGCCATGAGATCCGCCACCCCCTGTTGCTTGCAAGAGGGGTGCCTGGCGTGCTGAATCCTGTCGGTTTGGGTCTTGGTTCTTTTTCCAAAAGAACTCCCCCTGGGGCTTCGGCCCGTCCCGCCGGCCACCTTGAAAGGACTTCAATTGCGGAAAAAAAATCTCCAAGACGGCTCAAGATGGCCCCAAGATGACCACGTTGGCCCAAGATGGCCTCCAAGATGGTGCAAGATGGTCTCCAAGTTCGCCCAAGATGTCCAAGACGGCCTCGAAGACGGCCCAAGAGAGTCCAAGACGGCCCAAGACGGCCCAAGAGGCCCCCCAGAGGCCTCCAAGACCGCCAAAGAGGCCTCCAAGAGGTCCTCCAGGAGGGCCCGAAGAGGCCAAAATTATTGTTTGCCCTTAGGTTTTTGAAGAATGCTACCATTCGCTTCTTCTCGGCTTTCCGACGACCCAAGACGGCCCAAGAGGCCCCCAAGATCGCCCCCACAGCGCCCAAGAGGCCTCCAAGATGGCCTCAGGACGGCCCAAGAGGCCCCCAAGACGGCCCCAAGAGGGCACAAAAGCGGCCCAAGAGGCCTCCAAGACGCCCAAGATGGTCTCTAAGACGGCCCTGGAGCACCCCAAACGGCCCCAAGTCGGCCCAGAAAGGCCCCCCAAACGGCTTCCGACGGCGTCAGACGGGCCAGGAGCCCACCAAGATGGCCGAAGTTGGCTCGAAGCTGGCCCCAGACGGCCCAAGAGGCCTCCAAGAGGGCCTCCAGGAAGGCCAGAAATTGCAAAACGCATGTTTTTGTCCGTTTGTGTTTGAAGGATTTTGACATTTGCTTCGTTTCGGCCTTCCGACAGCCCGATACGGCCCAGGAGCCCCCAAAGGTCGCCCAAAGATCGCCCAAGAGGCCTCCAAAATCAGAACGGCCCAAGAGGCCCCCAAGACGGCCCCAAGAGGCCCCCAAGACGGCTCAGGAGGCTTTCAAGACGCCCAAGATGGCCTCCAAGACGGCCCTGGAGCATTCCAAGAAGGCCCCAAGTCGGCTCAGAGAGGCCGCCCAAACGGCTTCCGACGGCGTCGGACGGGCCAGGGGCCCACCAAGACGGCCGAAGATGGCTCTAAGATGGCCCAAGACGGCCCAAGAGGCCTCCAAGAGGGCCTCCAGGAAGGCCCGAAAAGGTCAAAATCATTGATTTCCCATGAGTTTTTGAAGGATTGCGGCATTTGCTTTTTTTCGGCCTTCGGACGGCCCGAGACGGCCCAAGTGCCCCCAAAGATCGCCCAAGAGGCCCAAGACGGCCCCAAGAGGCCCCCAAGACGCTCAAGATGGCCTCCAAGACGCTCGAGATGGCCTCCAAGACGGCCCAAGAGCCCTCCAAGACGTCCTCCAAGAAGGCCCGAAAGGGTCAAAATGGCCTCCAGGCGGCCAAGATGACCTTCAAGATGCCCACGTGTTCCCCGAAGGCTTTCCACACCGATTCGGGGAACACATGGTCCGATAGCTTGGCAGGTCTGGCCTCAACGTTCGGCAACATAGGCGCTTCCCAAAAGGCAGGGGGCGGCGGCGATTCGCCGTAGGCGTCTTCGATATCCGCCGCCGTGCCGCTGAGCACGTACTGGGCGTGTCCTCAGGTCCTTTGCCTAGTCCTTTCAGCACTCCCGAGGAGTCGCTCAGGGGCCTGGAGCCCAAATTCTCAAATCTCCTCGGCCTTCCCACGTTTTCTCGGAGCTCGTTCGATTGACCGTTTCGGGCCCAGGAGTGCCCCAAGACGGGCCAAGAGGAGGGCCCTCCAGACGGTCCAAAAGGGCCCCGGGTCGCCGAACAATCGCTCCGAGACGCTCCAGATGGCCCCCAGACGGCCCAAGCGGCCCCCAAGACGCCCAAAGAGGCCTCCCAAGAGGGCCCCAAGAGGCCAAACTCATTGATAAACCTGATGTGTTTGAAGGTTGTTGGCGTTTTTGCCTCTTCGGTTTCCCGACGCTCCCAGACGGCCCTGGAGGCCTCCAAGACCGCCCCAAGACGGCCCAAGAGGCCTCCAGGATGGCCCCAAGACTGACCAAGAGGCTCTCGAGACCGCCCGAGGCGCCCGGAAGAAGGCTCCAGGAGGAAGGCCCAGACGGGGAGGCCCGAGCGGACATGTCGAACCCTCCTCAAGCGAAGCGACGAGACGGAAAAAGTCTTCAGACCACTAGAGCGCGCACGGTCGGCCCCTCAGAAGACGGGGCAGGGACCCAAACGGGATCCACCATGCCACGCGCATACTCTTCACACAGACACACGCAGCACACCCACACAAACACTCGCTTCTTAAGCCGGCGGCGCAGAGCGTCCCCAGGCGCGAGCAGCAGATGGAAGTGCGAACTGCGATCGAACGCTGTCGATAGCGCAGCGTAGAAGTGTCGCACATTGCAAGATGCAAGCGGTGGATGGGCAAGAGGAACTGTAAGTCCAAACGAAACATGCAGCGGCCAGAAAAGGAAGAGAGCACTCAACTCAAAGCGAACTGAAGCACGGCAGCCCGGGGCGAATTGCGGCCACTGATAACCGTAGCGGTGTTGGATAGTGAAGCGCAAAGAATCAACGCTGCCAGGCAGATTGGTGCTGTGGCCAAAACAGCGGTCCAGCGAAGCATACTGGTAGGGTGTTAACCAATGGACCAGCACCGCAGTCCGACTGCGACACACACACACACACACACACACTTACACGAGGGGGGGGGGAGAAGCCGCTCGCACGAGCCCACGTATCATGGGCTTGGACCACTCAGCGCGCCATGTGCACAGGAGGGGAGGGGGGGGAGCAAGGGAAGCGTGAGGGGGGAAGAAGGATGGTACAAGGCGGAGGAATGAGGACGGAAGGAGAAGGGAGGAGGGAGGTAACTTCGGGAGGGATGCGCACCCTCCTCTCCCTCACCATCCTTCCTCCACCTCGCCTCTCCCTCCTTCCCCTCATTCAACCATCACCCTCCTGCTCCCCCAGTACCCTCCTCCCCTCCTTCAACCATCCCCCCCTCCTTCCTCCTCCTCCCCGCCCTCCCTGCTTCCCCCAGTACCCTCCATCCTCCTGCGCAGCCTCCACCTCATCGTGCGCTCGGCTCCAACCTGGCGGCTCCTGTTGAAATCCGGAGGTGGCTTCTTGTGAGCGCTCGCCTCCCCGACGGCCTCATTGGATCGACGGGGCGAATCCGACGTTGGCAGTAAGAGAAAGAGGAGAAGGAGGAGGGAGAAAAGAGTAGGGATGAGGACGGGGGGAGTAGAGGGGGCAACAGGGATGAGGAAAACGAGGAAGGGCAGGGGGATGGGGAAGATGGGGAGGGGAGAGGGAGAGGGGCCGAGGCGGTAGGACAGAGGATGGGGCATGGAGGAAGAAGCGAAGAGTGAGAGAGGGAGGAGGCACGAGGAGGAACAAGGGAGGGAATAAGCCCACCAGCACTCTGGGCGTAGGTGGTTTAGATCGCTTCTACCTCCAACCCCTTTCTTCCCCTCTGGGGAGAGGTTTAGCTCTGTTCATTGTTAGATGTCGTTCTCTGACCAAAGAACTCCCCCACTCGACCGGCCGCCGAGTCGAAACCCTGCCGGGCATCCCCCCCCCACCCCACCCTGCATCCCTGTCAAGAGAAATACAGCAAGGTACACGCTGCGGTGGAGTGTTGGACCACGCGCGAGCTCCCCGCGGACAGGGCAGGCGGGCGAGTAGCAGATTGCCCGATGCGCGCAGGCCCACCGCCCCCGTCGAAGACCGATTCAAAGCGGAGGAGACTGCACATGCCACACACCACGATGGCCACCCACCCGCCATGTTGCACAGTGGTTGTGGGCAGGGATGCTGGGGTGGGGAGGGGGGGGGGCGACGTCACTCCTGATGTGTGCTGTCACGTGCACTGGCGCACCTGTTACAGTCTGCGCGCGTCGCGCCTGTGCATGTGGCGCACCTAGAGCAGTTTTGTGGATGCCATGGCAATGGACACTCTAACCGCCCCATCATTGTATTATACTTGTCTTTTGAAAGCCTGCTGCATGCTGAAATAAAGACATTCGAAACACGATTAAAGCATGGTGTAGCACCAAAAAAAAAATCGTTGAAACGTGTCTTAGACATCGGGAAATGATTCGGCAGCATGCCTCCTCTCCATTGATCGTCTTCCACAAGAGTAAATGGAGCACGTGACACACTTGGAGCACGTGGAGTTCGCGGCATCTCCGGCGCACCAGGTGCGCCTGGCACGGTGGGGCCCGTGGGGCGCCCGGCGCACCTGGTGCGCGCGGTGCGCTCCTGGCATGCTTTGCGCACCACGCCAGCGTCTCGCACCTGGCGGCTGTGTTGATTCCCAGCGGTTGCAACTCCAACCGCGACCTCTACATGTGCTGAAATTCTGGTGCTACCCATGCGTTTGAGGCGCATGGGCAGCTTAACTTGTGGACAGCTTGACCCGTCGCCACCCCCCCTCCCCTCGGTTCGGGACCAGGGCGTTGCAACGCGTTGGGGCGTCCTGGATAACTCAAAATGGCCACCAGAGGGCCCCAAGTTGTCCAACATGGCCTCAGCCATGGCACTGGATAATTCAAAATGGTTCCAAATGACCTCGGCCATGTCTCAACGAGGCCTCAAGACCGCCACGATACGGTGCCAAGTGGACACAGAGCCTCCCAATGAGACCCGAGGCCTCAAGATGACTCCAAGATCGCCCCAAGAGAGCCCCAAGAGGCGATGACTCAAGCTTCAACGGGGGACGTGTCCTTGATTCCGTCCCTGTCGCTCAGAACCAAAACCGTCGAAGAAGAACAGTATCCTGGCGAAGGACCCAACCATATGCAATTGTGAATATCGTCGTTGTGGGGATCGCCTTCGGTGGATATCCCTATGTGGCCACGGAGCGCGTGAAGAGTGTGCCGGGCCGCCGTGCGGGCGCTGCCACGGGGGCCTGAGGCAGAGCCCCCAGCATGGGGCCACAAAGCGTGAGAGTGGTGTGCCGAAACGAGGGTGGCGCCCACATGCGGCGCTGCGCCAGCGGGACCTCATGTCTCAGACTACTGACTCATATGGGATCGTGGGGGTCGCAGTTGGGTGAGGAGGGGCTCCTTTCTCCTCGGGCGGATGAACAGTTCGAACTCACTCAGGCGCCTAAGCCAACACGGCTAGGGAGAAGGGACAAAGAGGGGGAAACACCGAAGGGGCTCTGGGGGCATCCAAGAACACTCAGACGGAAGTCCCTGCGGGGCCACAAACCGTGAAGGGTGCGCCGAAACGAGGGCGGCGCCCACATGCGGGCTGCGCCAGTGGGGCCTTGCCTGGAGCGACCCATGGGACCACGAACCTCGTGAGTGGTGGGCCGCAAGAGGGATGACGCCCACATGCGGGCTGCGCCAGTGGGGCCTTAGCCAGAGCTCCCCATGGGACCACGAACCTTGTGAATGGTGTGCCGAAACGGGGATGACGCCCACATGCGGGCTGCGCCACTGGGACCTTGGGTGGAACTCCCTATGAGGCCACGGAAAGTGTGAGTGAGGTGCCAAAACGAGGGTGGCGCCCACGTACGGGCTCCTCCTCCTCCTCCTCGCGTCACTGACGTGGGAAGACAGCCGCAGTCGTACCAGAGCCGGTGAGCCAAAGGGCAGTGCTTGCTGGTCAGGTCTTGTTTGCGAGGGGCGAACGATGCCCGTGCAGCTCTCGTACGGCCGTGAATCTCCGCGCCCATCGGCTCGTGGAAACCGATCAGGTGGCCGAGACATTTGAGACCGCCCTCGTACGGAATGTTTTCTGCATGCATGTCTTGGGCACGTGCTGTGCGTGAGCTCGCCCTCCTGGTCCTTCTTGTCCGGTTGTTTCGTATTTTCGTTGTGCTCGGGTGCAGTTCACGCCCGTGCGACTTTACTGCGCACACCATGTCGTCGAGCATCGTAATCAGACGCGGGAGAACTTGGCTGGTCAGGAGCGCGTCGTCGGAGAGGGGAGGCCTGGAGAGGAGGAGTCAGGAGAGAGGAAGAGGGCATGGGGACGAGGAGGGAGGAGGAGGAAGACGCAGGAGGAAGAGGGAGGGAGGGATGCGATGCGACCACTGTTGCGGACAGCGTCCGGGCCTAGGGCAGACCAGGTGGGTGAGGCCATGGCCTCTAGAATCTGAGGTGTCTGGATTCATGCAATGCGAGACATGTAAAAAGTTAGGAGGTGAAGGGGAGGAGGAGGAAAAAGAAAGTCCTTGGTGTCGGTGTCGGCGCGGGTTGTGCGAGATTACGTCATTGGTCTGAATCCCGGGTGCTGGTCGACGTGAGGTCGGTGAAGTGGTGCTCGAGCGCTGTCCATGCTTCGGTGTCTTGGGCTGTTTGCGTCCATGTGATGTCGTTCGGTTGTCCTTTCGAATGGGCTTGCGTGGGCGGTCGGTGGAGGTCTGGTCTGCGTTGACGTAAGTAAGTGGTGATTTCGTCGTCCCAGCGCTTGTTTTGGCCACCGTGCTGCCTTTGTCCCTGCTGGCGCGGGTTGAGGACTGGGTGCCAGCGCAGCACTCGCCATGTCCACCTCGTCCAGTTGTGGTTTGCGACTCGTGAAGCCATGCGCCAGACTTCCCGTTTGTGCAGCGTCTCCCAATTGTCGATGTGGTGGAGCTTCAAGAGGGAGGGAGGGAGGGAGGAGGAAGGAGAAGGGAGGGGGGGGAAGGAAGGAGGAGGTCCGCTGGCCGCGGACCTCCCAAGCCCCAGCCGGCGCGGCGGCACCGTGCGCCTGACGCTTATGGCAGCGCACGCCCGGACTCGGTGGCGGCCCGAGAGTCTGACCTGCTCGAAGGGGCCCAGGCCGAGGCCTCCCCCGACGTCCGGCGGCTTGAAATTATCCTGGCGATGGACCCAACCATATGCAGTTACGAGTACCGCAAAGCAGGTTGAACGATGAGAGGGAGCTCCCTAAGGGGCCACGAAACGTGTGAGAGGTGTGCCGAAATGGGCGCGGTGCCGCCATGCGAACGCAGCCACTGGGGCCCTCAGTGGAGCTCCCCATGGGGCCACGAAACGTGTGAGGGGTGTGCCGAAATGGGTGCGGTGCCGCCATGCGAACGCAGCCACTGGAGCCTTCGGTGGAGCTCCCTCAGGGGCCACGAAACGTGTGAGGAGTGTGCCGAAATGGGCGCGGTGCCGCCATGCGAACGCAGCCACTGGGGCCCTCGGTGGAGCTCCCTATGGGGCCACGAACCGGGTGAGGGGTGTGCCGAAATGGGCGCGGTGCCACCATGCGAACGCAGCCACTGGAGCCCTCGGTGGGGCTCCCTATGGGGCCACGAAACGTGGGAGGGGTGTGCCGAAATGGGTGCGGTGCCGCCATGCGAACGCAGCCACGGGGGCCCTCGGTGGAGCTCCCTCAGAGGCCACGAAACGTGTGAGGGGTGTGCCGAAATGGGCGCGGTGCCGCCATGCGAACGCAGCCACTGGGGCCTTCGGTAGAGCTTCCTATTGGGCCACGAAACGTGTGAGGGGTGTGCCGAGATGTGCCACGTCGAAACGTGTGAGGCCCTCGGTGGAGTGGGGCCACGCCGAAATGGGTGCGGTGCCGCAATGCGAACGCAGCCACGGGGCCTTCGGTAGAGCTCCTATGGGGCCACTGTGCCGAAATGGGTGCGGTGCGAACGCAGCCACTGGGGCCCTCGGTGGAGCTCCCTATGGGGCCACGAAACGTGTGAGGGGTGTGCCGAAATGGGTGCGGTGCCGCCATGCGAACGCAGCCACTGGGGCCCTCGGTGGAGCTCCCTATGGGGCCACGAAACGTGTGAGGGGTGTGCCGAAATGGGCGCGGTGCCGCCATGCGAACGCAGCCACTGGGGCCCTCGGTGGAGCTCCCTATGGGGCCACGAAACGTGTGAGGGGTGTGCCGAAATGGGTGCGGTGCCGCCATGCGAACGCAGCCACTGGGGCCTTCGGTGGAGCTCCCTATGGGGCCACGAAGCGTGTGAGGGGTGTGCCGAAATGGGTGCGGTGCCGCCATGCGAACGCAGCCACTGGGGCCTTCGGTGGAGCTCCCTATGGGGCCACGAAACGTGTGAGGGGTGTGCCGAAACATGCGGCAGCTGGGGCGGTGGAGCTCCCTATGGGGCCACGCGTGTGAGGGGTGTGCCGAAATGGGTGCGGTGCCGCCATGCGAACGCAGCCACTGGAGCCCTCGGTGGAGCTCCTTATGGGGCCACGAAACGTGTGAGGGGTGTGCCGAAGTGGGTGTGGCTGACGCGGAGGGGGAGGAGGGAGGAGGGGGCAAAGGAGAAGGAGGGGAGAACGCGGGGACCGTTTCTTCAAAATGAGGACCCAACACCACAGGATGGTTGGGAAAAAACCGAAGGCGTCCAGGGGCGTCCAGGAGGTGGACACGCAGAGGACCCAGGCTCCCACTGCGCCGTGGGGAAGCGTCCCGACGGGCGGTGCTCGCTGCTTGCGGCCTCCATGGGCCCTCGCTGGGCCACGGGACCGTCGAGTGGACGGTTCGGGGTGCAAGACTTGCGGGGGAGAGGTCCAGTCCTCTGGGGGTCCACCGTGGACCCCCAGAGGACCGTAGCGTGGACCGTCCACGCTACGAAACAGAATACGACGTCGGGAAACTGCGGATGAGTCTCGGGTGCGCCCGACAGGAGGGTGTCCAAGAAGGGGGCGTCGCAGGTCATGGCCAGAGGCACATGCGCGGCCCCGGGGGCGTCAAGGGACGAGATGAGATAAGAAAAGGGGGCTATGAAAACCGGGGAGAGATGGCCCCAGCCATTGTATCCACCCGCTCCGAATGCTCACCCCGCGCCTGGCCGCCCCCGAAAAATTGTGACGGTCTGACTTTCACCGCTTCAAACACCCAGGGGCCAACTTCCGGGCCCTGGGACAGTCAAAAAAACAATCTGGAACGAAAAACTTATCCCACGTTTCAATAAGAGCAGGTCTGGCGGACATACTGGTTCAAACTCCGCATTTTCCCCGTCCGCCTCCAGGATCTGCTTTCGATCCGCAGGACAATTCCGCCGATCCGACGTGTGAGTTTCTGAGAGCGCGGGCTTGAGCTCGCTCAAGTTTCGCTCTGTCCAGGGGGGGAGGGCTGACGCCAGTCAGGCCCGGGAAGGGGTAGGGAAGCGGGGAGCTCGCTCAAGCTTCGCTCTGTCGGGGGGGGGAAGGGGGCTGACGCCATGGCTGACGCCATTCAAGCCCACGAGGGGGGACGGGGGGGGGGGAACGCCATGGCTAACGCCCTTCAGGCCGGGACAGAGGGAGTCGAGGAGAGGGGGTGGGGGCTAACGCCATGGCTGACGCCATTCAGGCCCGGAGGGGGGAGGCCAAACTTCGCGTCGGGGGGGGGGGGGGGGCTGAACCCCATAGCGACTGGCCAATTCAGGCCCAGGAGGAGAGAGGGGGGAGGGGAGATTCAGGCACTGGGTTGGGGGGGGCTGACCGCCATGGCTGACGCGATTCAGGCCAGGGAGGGGGAAAGGGGGGGAGCTCGCTCAAGCTTCGCTCTTGTCGGGGGGAGGGGGGGCTGACGCCATTCAGGCCGGGAGAGGGGGGGGTTGGAGGGGAAAGCCATGGCTGAGCCATTCAGGCCCGAAAGGGGGGGGGGGGGTGGGGGGGGGGGGGGGGGGGGGGGGGGGGGGGGGTGGGGGGGGGGGGGGGGGGGGGAGCTCGCGCAAGCTTCGCTCTGTCGAGGGGGGAGGGGGGCTAACGCCATAGCTGACGCCATTCAGGCCCAGGGGGAAAGAGGGGGGAGGAGATTCAGGGCCCGGGGAGGGGGGTGGGTGGGGGGCTTCACTCTGCGGGGGGGGGAGGGAGGGCTGACGCCATAGCTGACGTCATTCGGACCCAGGACTGGGGGGGGGGGAGGGGGTGACGCCATGGCTGCGCCATACAGGCCCGCCCTGGAGGAGGGAGTCGGGGGGGGGAGGGCTGACGCCAAAGCTGACGCCATTCAGGCCCAGAAGGGGGGGAGGGGGAGGGCAACTCGCTCAAGCTTCACTCTGTCGGGGAGTGGAGGGCTGACGCCATGGCTGAAGCTATTCAAGCTCGGGAGGGAGAGGAGAGGGGGGGGGGGGCCGACGCCATGGCTGATGCCATTCACGCCCGGGAGGGGGGAAATGGGGTGGGGGCGGGGGCCGACGCCATGGCTGACGCCATTCTGGCCCTACGACTACGACTACGACTACGACTACGACTACGACGACGACGACGACGACGACGACGACGACGACTACCACCACCACCACCACCACCACCACCACCACCACCACCACCACCACCACCACTACTACTACTACTACTACTACTACTACTACTACTACCACTAC